ACATATGGTTTCATTTCCAAAGGTAGTTGTAATGTTCCTTCCTGAACAAGGTGATGCCTCTGGCTGAAATTGATCCTTAGAACTACCTTATATCTAATCTTATCCCATATGGACGTACGGGCCAGAGTTCATCATCGGCTGCCGGGCGGTGTCCACCCCGGCGGTCACGTCCTTTCCGGCGACAGGTTGCGTTTCGCCTCACCCCGTTGCCTATCAGCAAAGCGGTCGGGCGGCAGGCGGCGTTCTTCCCGGTGGCCACGACCCCGGTTACGGGAACGGCGGACGTCGGCAGGCTGCGTCAATGATCATGTGTCATGACAACAAACAAAAACGGTGTCGCTAAAACTACACAAAAATATTACAACAACCATCCATCGAATTTAACGCCAACACCAGTCGAATCAAATATTTTATTAATCACCATAAGAATTGGGAAGAATGAAATCCCTAATTCATGAAACAGCTCAATAGGAGAAAACAAGTACAACACAACTAACATATTAGCGATAAAATCATAAAATAAAATGTCAATTAAATAAAGCAACGGCAGATAAAACAAACAGATGGGCGGTAGAGTAGGAAATTCCTTACACAAAAATACAAAACTAACCAAAACATTAGACAACTTAACTATAAAAAACCCTACGAATAAAACAACTAACTTATAATTAAACAGTTCTTTCACGAAAGGTACTAGGTTGAATGAATTGTACTTTCCTGCGGGCTCTACGGCGTCACCGGTGAGTTCAAAAACACCGAGGTGGGCGTTTCTTCTAATAGTGAAGGGATCAGCATACAATGGGAAAAACTTAGCGAACAGCCCCTTTGGCGCATTTGATGTAGGTGTGCGGGGTAGTAGGATGTGCAGGTGTCGCCGAACTTCAATTTCTGCGGTTTCCTAACCAGCCACTTTTCTTTTCTTGGCGGCCCTGTTCACGTTCGCGTGAACAATGCGATGACTGTATTATTGGAATTCAAGATGTATAACGCTGTCTCTTATCGTATTAAAACAAGATTTTCAATTCACCAGGTCATGTGAGGAAGCCAAAATGAATTCACAGGGGACCGCATTCCACACTGCTATTTCCTGCAGTCAACATTGTTGGCCTGAAGTGCTCAATGCACTAACACCACCTCGATAATGTCTTCCACGAACAAGAAGGTAGATCCTAACCTGATCCGAACAACCAGCAAATATTTCCTGCACCTGTAATAAAATTTGTATTGTGCACATTAATAAGTAATTATAAACAAAGTAAATACTCAGTTCAATGTTGGTGCAACAAAAATAATAAGACTATTAAAAATAAAGGGAATAACACTCATCAGAATAATATTAAAACCAATTATAAGGAAACATTAATCTTACAAAACAAATAACATAATAATATTACTTGTTTGGAATCACACCGAAAAATAACATTAAGTAACCTAATTAAAAATATTAACAATTACATTAATTACCTAGCTGATAATGATTCAGTGGCAAATAACTTACAATTAGAGTGAGTAATTCCATTATCTAACAGTAGTAGTTTAATTAACTTAAAATATCCTGACATATTAACATATATTACTAAATAGAATATGAAATCATTGTCAAAGAACCATAAAATATCACTTTTGAGGATCTTTCGGAAAAGTAACCGCGTTTGGCTGTGCACTGTTTCGGCAATTGGGTACATCCAATAACGCAGAAATTTGGCAATTTTTTGGGACGGCATTGCGGAAAGACCGTTACATGAATATCACAGACAATTTGTTAATCGTAATGTACCGCATGAAAGCGTATTTATTAACACCTTCAGAAGGTGGTGAGAAACTGGTTTATTATCTTCGACTTCCGAATGCGGCCTTTCTCGACCTACGGAACAAGCATGTGACCTTGTGATAGAAGCTGAAGAAAATTTATCAAATCGTGTAAGAAGAGTATCTTCTCGGTTGTATGTTGCGAAGAGCAGAAATTCCTTCACAGTGAAGGTTTGTATCCTTACAAATTTAGCAATGTTCAACACTTTCAACCACAAGACTGAGAATCGAGTATGCTGTTTGGTACCTGGCATCTTCAAAACATGTTTGAAGGTAGAAATTATTCAGGAGAGGCACAGTTCGTGAGAAGTAGAATAATTAATTCTAGAAATAGTCATTTATGGGCTCCTAATCCACATGCAACACGTGAAAGGCAATTCCAAGTAGAATTTTCCTTAAATGTGTGGTGCGTAATTGTTGGAAATCTAATTGTAGGTCATCACTTCATACACAACGTTAACTGAAGACGCGTATTTAATGTTCTAAGAACATGAATTGCCTTCCCATCTGGATGTGCCTTTCCTCGTTCTCGATGTATTCTCAGCGCGATGGAACGCCGCCTCATTTCAAAAGAAATGTGCAAAACTACTCCACATGAAGTGTCCAGGAAGATTGATAGGTCGCGGTGGACCTCAAAACTGGCCAACAAGATCTCCCGACCTTACTCTACTTAATTTTTATCTTGGGGTCATTTAAAGAGTAGTATGCACGCAACATTTTGACAACAGAGCTGCTTTTGTAACTCAAATTTGTGATGTTCTTGAGGAAATCGGGAGTAACCGGGAAGTATTAGTAACTGCTTCCGTATTTCGACGCGTTGAGTTGTGCATCAAAGGAGGACATTTTGAATATGTTTTGTAAGCGTACACCAGCGACAATTTAAAGCCGCGCCAAAGAAAACGAAGTGAGTTCAGTGCTGCCAAATTCTTCGGAAAAACTCGATTTTCGCAATTCTGCTGCATTTTTTATTTGTGTTAATATTGCTTTGTAAACAAATGTATTCATTTCTTATGTAAATATTAATCAGTTCATGTTTCTGAGGAGCCACTCAAGATCGGATGGACCAATATTAATTATCTACGATTTATTGCATTCATCTCCGCCAGGAATAGCAGAATAACTATTGAAATATTGGACGAAACATTAACGAGAATAAAAAATATATTCATGCTAAATGTAACCCGCAGCCCACGGTACTATTTTTTCTAAACATCGTTAAATATCTCTTGAACAAGCGTTGTAGGGCATTAAAAAGTAGAATTTTGTGGCCGAGACCTTAGGATGGACCACAAGAGAGGACTGGCGTCGAGCAGAACAGGATGAGCTGGGCAACGTGGTAATGTGAACTAATGCTGAGCTTGGAGACGACAGCGACAGGGCGATTGCTGCATAATATCAACCAGGTCGTAATAGCGCTGATAGAATGGAAAGACGACGGTGGGGCGGTGCCATTACACAGCGTCGATGATTGAACTGAGGGTAGTCTGCGGCTCCTGTGCGAGCATCCTCTCGAAAATAGTGCGCTGACGTCCGTGACAAACGGACGTATGTTGCTTGAACTATTATAAGTAAAATGTATTGTCAAATTTTTTCGTCTGTAATTCCGTCTGTTAGAACCGATTGAACTTAAAAAAAAATTAAAAAACGAAACATATTAATCATGACATGCAAACACATTGCAGGCACTACCTACGGACAAAGTTTTTGTTTTACAGTGATTTCCTTATATCGCGTAAGACACTGCAAAGTTTTTATTCTATATCGTTAGATCACTCCCAAACGACGCGTTCTAGGGCATTAAAAACTAAAATTTTGAGGTCTAAGGCCTCAAAGAAACGTTTCTCACACCATAGATAAGATAATCTGCAAGATTAACATCTTCGTGAACATTCTATTACATTTTTGACAGTCCTGCGCTTCTCGATATTAAATCACCTGCTCAAAGACATGCAGAATCTGCAACTAAATGTGTATGAGAAAGCTAGAAAATGTGAGAGGTAGAGGGAGAGAGGGACGGAGACGGGGAAAGACTGAGAGTGGATAGGGGTGGGGGGGTGGAGACGAAGAGAGGGAAGAGATAAGGGTAGAACACCGTCTGCCGGGATCCGCTAGTTTTTATATATTAACAACTCTTAAGCGAATTAAAATATTGAAATGGCAGGTTTAATGGCTGTGTAGAATAAAAAGGAAAGGTACCTTTAAAGAAACTGTCGTAGTTGCCGTAAGGCAAAAATTGTTGCTGCAATGATGGCGACGGAACTATTAATAAACGTTACATCTTGTTTGTTGTTTCCTTTTTTTCCCCTGTCTTTACCATTTCTTCAAAGAAAGAAAGAAAAAAAGAAAAGGGAAAAAAAAAGAAAAAAAAATCCCGCCGAGGCACAGGTTATGGCAGTGCTACCGAGACGCGATATCACCTCTGCTCCCGGCAGGAAGCGTATGAAGTGAACTATCAAACCTCTTTCCAGTATACTTGTGTGCGGAGAGTGAATGGAATGTGTGCAAAAAAAGAGGTATTGGTGATTGACTTGCTAAGTTCTAATAAAATATTAAATATTTCAAGTACTGAAGGTGATAGAACTGATCAGATTGGGGAACGAGGTATCCTTATCCCCCTTCGTTGCCATGGAAGTACAAGAAATTTAAACATTACATTATGAACACTATCCATGTGACCAACTTGGATATCCCTAACTGTTCCGAAATTATTATTAGTATCTCGTCTGACAAATTCTTCGTGAGAAAGGAATGTTATGTAATCGTGCGCCACAAAATGCCGAAATTTCCCCAGAAAAAAATCTTATTGACAGGTTCTGGTAACGAAAAGGTGGACAAATCCTGTTGCTAAATTTAGAAAAAATCCTCTCATAGTGTAACCAGAATTCATGTTTTGTTTGGTTTCTGTGGCGTTTTGTTACGAGTGCTGGCATGGTAACACTGAGGATCTGAGTTCGAGTCTCGGAGCAGAATAATAATTTGCTGCTTGAAAATACTTTTGCTGGTTTATTTAGTAGTATAATGTTGCAGAGCATTTAGAAACAATGTGAGAAAGTATGTGCTTTGGCAGCACTACTTGTTTCTTAAATAAGCTGATTACAGAGCCTAATGTTCATGTATCTACAAAGCCTATGTAAAATAGGTGTTGCGAGTGTATTATGATTCATTGTTCCAATTCAAATTTTGTTCTTCAGAATGAGAATGCATATCCTCCACTTCAGTCTCCAGTTGTTGATGGAATACAAAGTATTGCTGAATTGGAGGCCCAAGTTCATCAGCTGTCTTTGAACTCAAATCAGCCTTCAAGTGCATTACAGGCACGATTACAAAAGCTCCAAGTATGTGAATTTTTAAATATATTTTTGAAGAGCAGTGCATTATTAAAAAACAATCCAATTTACTGAATTGATTTTGATTTCAAGTATATTGTGAAATTTCAATTCCAGTTATTTATAACTGATGTTACTGATAAAATTCCAGGTACCAAGTGTATTTCCTCTGGCAGATCATTTTGTGACAACTCTACCTAGGATTTCAGAAGAGCCAGACTATGAAAAGGAGTTAAGGGAGTTGACCCGTTCCTTAGGTTTGGGCCTTCCAGTTTATACAGCTGTACCTCGCTTTCCCAAAGGTGAACCAGTGATGTACAATTGCAAAGTAAAGGTATGTTTTTTATAGAATGTTTCATATTTTTTAATCTTTTTAAAATACAATATCAAAGATGTTCTATAAATTAATATTTTTAACAGGAAAATAATGGGTGGCGCAAATCAATCAGTTAAAAAAATATTTTATATTTATAGTTTATATTTATATATATTTATATATATTTATA